GGGTGGAGGAGAGGCCTGCAAATGAACGATCCGGGCATTTATCTCCAGGAAGAATCCAGCAACGTGACATTCTCAGCAGAGCTAAAGGTTGACAGAGCTGACAGAGCAGAGGAGTTTTGACAGCACTACTAGGAAAATGATGGATTTTACCAAGTAGGCTGAGTTTGGGGGTTTGTTCTTTCCATTAAGCTCGCACCCCCACTTCCCAAGTGGGATGTTCTTTCACCACTCCAGACTTTGTCCCCACTGTCTTGCAGGATGCTGGGGCATTAATGGCAGTAATGAGTCCAAAAAGCCAGGAGTAAGGCCACCTGGTTCCCAGTCTGGCTTCTCCATGAGAGCTGGACAAATGAGCGAATTCAGCCCTTAATTACCGAATCCCTACTCTGCTCTGGCAATGGCACTAGGGTTGTCCTGGTCAGGATGGACCAGGTGGAGGAGAAAGACCAGAAAACAGGTAATCTCATGGGATGACACGAGGAGGATGATGATGATGATACGGATATTTAACAGGGGGCAGACAGGGTCTGCAGACTTCCCATGTAATGTCTTGTGCTTTTCAAGTTTAACACACATGCTAATCACTCTGGGATCCTGGTAAAATGCAGGATCTGGTTTGGGAAGTCTGGGGTGGGATCTGGGACTCTACTAACAAGCTCCAGTCAGCTGGTCCCCAGACTTCACATTAAGAAGGAAGGTATTATTTCATTCAATCTTCAGAACATACCACTGAGGCACTATAGTTATTCCCATTTTACAGACAAGGAAATGGAAGCCTGGAGAGGTCAAGTGACTTGCCCAAGGTCATAGAGCTGGGAACAGAGGAGCCAGGACCGGACTCCAGGGCCTGCGTGCTTACCCAGCTCTGCCATGGTAAGGCAGTGGGGGTGGCGCCAAGGGGGCACAGTGCCCAGAGGAGGGGCTCAGAGAAAGCTCTGGGGGAATGTGCCTCTTGGTTGGGTGCCAGCAGGTTAAGGGTTAAGGTATTAGCCAGGGGAGAGCCAAGGAGGGTGGTGAGAGAAGCCTGAAGGGAGACAGTACCCAGCTAGGCGGCTGGGGAACCCGCAGGACAGGGCCTGGCAAAGTAAGGGCGCTCAGGCTGTTTATTCGGCAGAGCAGGAGAGGGGCAGAGACCAGGGCTCTGCAGGGCACAAAGGCTGCCCTTTTTGGCCTTACCCTGAGGGCCCGAGAATGCAGGTTCTCTGGAAAGATCGCATTACCTCTTTACTCATCCTTCCCTGACACACTTCCTTGGGGCATCCCCTTCCTTCTCAAAGGCACTGCCCCGCCCAGCACTCACTACCTGGGCTGCAATGAGCACTTGGCACAGTGGGTCTCTGTTTACACATCTGTCTCCTGCGAGAACATTTCCTGCTTATCCATCTCTGTCCCCGGAATACCCAGCCTGGCACGTGGGGTGACAACACCTGCCCCACTTACGTCATGAGGATGCTGTGAGGGGAGCATGGGTGGACATGGAGAAAGAGTCCGAAAGAACTGGATATGCCGCACCGTCCGGAAGGTGTGTGCCCGTCGAGGCTGTCTCGTGGGTTCTGGGACAGTGGGTAGTGGGATCTCCCTGCCAGGCCACCTCTTTGCCTAGTGTCCCTCAAATGCCCACAACTCAGGCACCACTCTGACAACTCTGGCTATATTCATCCGCAGGGGCTCCCATGTACTTAAGATTTTCCTGTACACTGATTTCCTTTTTCCCCTACCTTCACTGTGACAAATTTCCAACCTGCACAGAAGTTGAGTGAAGAGCATCAAGAACACCTGTACACGCCTCCCCTAGATCCACCAAGTGTCAACGTTGTTGCCACAATCCATCTGCTTTCTCCATTTCTCTCCTGGGCCTACATGTTAAAAAAAAAAAATAGCACGGGCTGATTTTTCTCTGGGTTCATTAAAAATATCTAAATAAATTTTGGGGCGCCTGAGTGGCTCAGTCAGTTAAGCATCTGCCTTCGGCTCAGGTCATGATCCCAGGGTCCTGGGATCGAGTCCCGCTTTGGGCTCCCTGCTCTGCGGGAGGCCTGCTTCTCCCTCTCCCTGCTGCTCCCCATTTGTGCTCATACTCTCTCTCTGACAAATAAATAAATAAAAATCTTAAAAAAAATATTTAAGTAAACTTTAACATTTAGCCTAGTTTTAGATTCAGGAAAAAGCCACAGAGAAAGCACAGGAAAGTCTTATGCACCCTGCACCCGGCCTCCTGTGTTACTATGGTGCATCTGTCCCGACGAATGAACCAGTGTGAATACGTTGCTGTGAACTCTACTCCACGTCCCTCCTAGGATTTTGTGCACTCTCCCCTTACCTGGTGGACTCACTATTAAACTTTAAAAGATTCAAAATAGGAAACTGTCCACGGAAAAGCATCGTCACTTGCCAAACACTGTTCTAGCCAGACGCCATTGGTTGCTGAACGACCAAGGCCTGAGGCCTGCTTTTTCTTCATTAAAAAGAGAGATTAGTAAATGTTGGAGAGGCGGTCAAGTCAGGCGGGCACAAAGCTGAGACTTCCTCACAGGAGCTTCAGCATTCTGTCGGGCCCAGTCCCTACAGCCGTCTTGGGCTCCGCCCCCGTGGGAGCCCTGTGCACGGTCTCCCTGGGCCACGCGTTCTGGAAAGCCCACGTCTGAGGCCATGGGGTGCGCTGGAGGATGGCACCTGTCTTCTGTACTGTAGCTCCCCTTGCTCAGCTCCCGAAGCCAGTAGGCGTGTGACAGGTGAAGAGTTCCATTAGTAGCATTAGAGGGGCACCGCGTGCCTGTTGTGTCCCTGAGATGCGGTCCCTCATGTCCTCAGCGATGGGGGAGGGGACTGTCTAAACTGCTCAGTAGCGCTCTCTCCGTAAGGCCCAGATTTGTTCACATTCATCCCTGGCAAGTGTTTCAAAATGGTTTTCATGTTTTCTAAGTTAGAGTAGGTGACGTTGTTTCCTGGAACCAAGTTGGCACTTTTTAATACTCTCCTTTCTAATATATACCTGCTGTCCTCATTTTCAGGAGACCTAAGCCCCTGAGGGAGTCACTGAGACAGCTCTCCTGCTCTTGAGGAATTCACTCTGTGACAAGTCACTGCTGGCTCAGGGGTCCCACATCTAACTGGAGGTGATCACACCTGAGTGTCTGCACAATTGCTGGGTTCACTCCTCAGCACAGCTATTGAGTTCTCTGTGGACGTACTGGAGAATTCTTGGGAGTTAGTCCAAGGGGGCACATGCTAGGATGAAATTTTCTCTGCACCCAAGTGCGGAGGAGGAAGCTGCTTGGGACGCAGGTAATAGATGAATCCATTTTCACTTTTCTTTTTTTTAAGATTTTATTTATTTATTTGAGAGAGAGAGACACAGCGAGAGAGGGAACACAAGCAGGGGGAGTGGGAAAGGGAGAAGCAGGCTTCCCGCTGAGCAGGGAGCCTGATGCGGGGCTCGATTCCAGGACCCCGGGCTCATGACCCGAGCTGAAGGCAGACGCTTAACCGACTGAGCCACCCAGGTGCCCCCATTTTCACTTTTCAAAATGAAACTGTTAACAGTTAGGAGCACCACCCTTAAACCATTTTGCCTCCCTTTTTCCCAGAGGTAATGACCCAGTTCGGGTCATCTTTTTCAGGCTTGACACGTGTTTCTGCAGTATCTCATTCTTTGTGTGTGTGCACAGGGCAGGGTTACACAATCAGGATTATACCAAATATATCATTTTGATCCCTTCTCACTCAATAGTATGTCTTGGAGACCCATGGTTGTTGTTACCTACCGACTCAGCTCATTCTTTCCAAATTGCTGTCTGGTAAGCCACAGCATGACCCTTCCGCATTCTGTGTAATCAGTCATTGTTTGATGGATGTTTACATTATTTTCAATTGTTTCCTATGATAAAACTTTTTTTTTTTTTAAGAGGTTCCTCTGTGTACATGCCTCCTGAGGCACATGCACAAGTTATGTTCTGGGTGGTGGCGTATATGCTCATTTCTGGTTTCCAAAGGTCTTGCCAAATTACCCGTCAGAGTGTGTGTGTTGCTCAGTGTCAGCTGCTATTCTTTGGGGCTGTTTATTCCTGGTTTCTCGTCTGCAGTGGCTGCAGGGTGGAAGGGAGCCAAGGGAGAGAGAAATTCACCTCTAGGTGTTACAGGCTAGTTGGCTCTGCAGGGCCAGGCCTCTCTATGGTGCTGGTCAATGGGGGCTTTGTTCCCGGGGCCAGCCCTGAGCAGAATCCGAAAGCTGATGTGCCAAGGTGACAAAGGGAGCCGTTCGTGTGTTGTGCCTGGACCCCACCCCCTGACCGAGACACCGTCAAGTTTGTAGGAGTCGCACAGACAAATGTAACAGGGGCGGCGGGGGAGTGGCGGGGAAAGCCTGAGAACATTAAGTTGTAAAAAAAAAAGGAACAAAGCAGTAAAAGAAGCTGACCACTAACTCTAAAGATGTAAAGGGAAAATGCCAAGCTAATCCGCACCCCAGGAGAAGTGGGAGGTGCAGAAGGGATAACGGGGGGCTTGGGGGGGGGAACCAGGACCACAGGAAGAGGTGTGTGGAGGATCAGATCCAGACAGACGGGAGGGGGAGAGGGAAGAAAGGAGGAAAAGGAGAAGGAGCAAGGAGGGGACATGAAAGTGGCAAGGTAAGAAGAGAGGAGGAAAAGAAGGAGCGAGGAGGGGACACGAAAGTGGCAAGGTAAGAGAGGAGGCAGGGGCGGAGGAGGGAGGGCAAGGCTGTGTCCCTGTCTGTTTGTGATTAGCACACAGCCCGGGCGCAGAATGGAGTAAACAGAAACTTCCAGGCATCCCCACACCCCCTTCTGAGGCGAAGCAGAAATCAGATGCTCCGTGATTAATCGTAGAGAGTTCAGGACACGACCACAAGCGCTGTGCGGGCTTGAAATTAGCTGCCTTTTCCCATCCCCTTGCCAAGATGGGAGTGGGGGGTGGGACGTGAAGGGGTGGGGGCCCCGCCTGCTGGGGGCCAGCATGGAATTCTCCCTGGCAGAGCTCAGTGACACTGACGGGCAATCGGCCGCGTCCAGAGAAGCAGGCAGCATCCGGGGAGAGCGGGCCGGCCGGGGGGGGGGGGCCCAGGCAGGCTTCCTGGAACCCTTGCTCCAACGGCCGCCTGCACCCGGACCCAGGCCAGATAAGAGGCCGGCTGCACTATCAGAGCCCGGCAGCGCGCTGTCCCCCGGCCCTCGGCACCACAAGGGAGACCGGGGGACAGTGGGCTCCTTGTGAGCAACCTCCCGAGTGGCTAGTCTGGACGGGCTTCCCAGAGTCCCAACTGGGCTCCTGCTGCGGATGGGAGCCGCCGCTCACCTCGGCGACAGAGAAAGCCAGGCTGCCTGGAGGAGGAGGCGTGCTCCCGCCTGAACGCGGGTACCTGCTCGCCGGTGAGTGAGGCCGGCGCGGGGACCAGACGCTAGAGGGAGGCGAGGTGAGAGGAGGCCAGCCCTTGTGCACACTCCACCCCGGAGCTCGCTCGGAGAGGGGAGCCGGCGGCGAGGGGGCCGGATGGGACTGCAGGGGCTTGCTGTGTAGCCTTGGGCGAGTTCTCCCCCCTCCCTGGGCCTCCGTTTGTCCATCTCTGCAATGGAGTGGCTGGAACAGCTGCTCTTTAAGGGGCTTTTACTGTGACCGGGTTTCTTGTGTATCTGCCATATGCCAGAAGCTGTGCGAGGCATTTGTGAAGCTCTAGCTCAGGGGATCCCCATGAGCCACCGGTGGGGCCAGCATTAGCCTCCTGGTACACTGAGCAAACAGAGGCTCAGAGAAGTGAAGTGACTCGCCCAGGGTCACACAGCTGGCCGGTGGCAGAGATCAGAATCCCATCTCTGCCTTTCTGATTGATTTGCCCTAAACTGTCCACTTCCAGGAGTCTGTATTCTGTTCTGGTTCCGTGATCTCCCCAGGAAGCAGGGGTGCAGGAGGGTGTCGGGGGGAGGATTACCCGTGGGAGGCAGGCAGAGAGGTCAGAGAGAGGCGGCCACAGGCTGGGCAGCCCTCAGCTCTGGACGGGTGGGGGCACGCGTCCCGGGCAGGGGCTCCTGGCTGGAATGGAGAGGGACCGATGCTGTGTGCTGGGCTCACCACCCTGCTGTAGGAGGCTCCTGGGGACGGGAGAAGAGAGTGAACATCAGGCAGGGGTGGGGAGAGCTGGGCGTGGGGAGAGTGGCACATGCCTCTACTAGGTTTTGTTCCAATTTTATTTTGCTTTTCCAAAAATCTGTTTCAAATCATTCTGGGCCCCCACTGCTCCTCTGGACGAAACAGAATTGTGAAACACATACAGAGCTTTGTACACGCCTCCCCCGGGGGGAATCACGCATTAATACTATCAGAGGCTATTTGCATATACAGCCCCACAGCTGCAGCCGCATCAGAGATAAGCTGCAGATCGAGTCCATGAGTGTCTCCCCGGCACAGAGGAGGAGGATGCACGTTACATCCGAGGGCCCAGGAAAAACACAGCAGGGCCGAGGCAGGTGGGAAATCCCTCAGTGCCAGGCATCGGGGCAGAATTGGAGATCCCGGCACCCAGATGTGGCCTCCTCTTTTCTCTCCTCTTGGAAAATTCCACCCTGCAGCAGCTCTGTATTGACTCAGGCCTCCCTTCCTTTTGGGGATTGGCTCAGGCCCTCTGCCTTGGGCTTGAGTCAAGACCTGAGTGGGGGTCCTGGCACCACCCAGTCCCAGGCACACCGGGACAACTGATCATCCTACCCACTTCTGCCCTTGATTTTTCTTGTAACCTTGACCAAGTCACCTCCCATCTCTGGGTCTCTGTTTCCTCACCTATAAAATGAAGGGATTATTTTAGGAAATCTCTAAAATCTCTTTGCAACTTTTAAAATTCTGAGAGCCTGCTTGGAGGGCACTTAAGTTCTCAATAAGCTTAGAGAAGACAAAGATCTCCCAAGAGCCCTGCCACCAGGGAAGGCGCCAGAGGAGGTGGGCATGAAGGTGGGCTTGAAGAAGGGACTGAGGGCCTTGTTCCTGACATCAGCGATCCCAGGCCTTTGGCCCTGCGAGCTTCTGAGGAGCCAAATGGACTGCTTTTGTGGGGAGTGATTTAACCAAGATGCGCACTGGCTAGGAAGCCCTTACGTACTCTGCATCAGAAGCTCAGAACCCCTCTCCCAGGGCCCCCCAGTTCTTTCTGGGGAGCAGTGAAGGGGTATCTCACATGTGCCCACCAACTGGGCTCCTGCCCTGCTCGTCCTCTCCTGCCTCCTCCTGCCTCTGCCCACCTGAGACTCTCATAGCACCCCCACCCCCCACCCTCTGTGTCCCCGAGCTGCTCTGGGTTCTGGGCAGAGATGGAGGGACTAGCTTCCTCCCCAACCCATGACACTCTTTGCCACATGGTCCCTACACTGTGGTGTGCTGGAGCCAGCTTGTCCCGGCTCTTGAAAGCCAATGGTCAGACTGTCAGAAGTGTGGGGAAAGAATTGCTTAACAGAGCCGTTATTAAAAATTAAATTTCACAGACTTGTAATTCAATCAATGGTGTTACAAAGGTAATGAGTACTCACTGCTCATCCCTTTCCATGTCTGAAAGGACATTTTGCTGCTCTGGATGCTCCCGAGGTGACTTTCATCCGTGCTGGCTGGTGGAAGCACATTTGATAGTCCGCTGTTGCGCATCTCTCCCCAAGTCCACGCGCGGTGACCCCAGGTTGGTGGCCTGGGCAATCGGCCGCAGTGGGAGTCCTTAAACCACGGGAACTGGTAACAGGATGACTCAGGGCTCGATTTATTGTTTTGCTGCCTGACTAGACTTGAGGGAGGAGACAGGAAAAGTTAACGACGCAGATTAAGCATAGAAGCGTGTCCCCTCTGTGGCTGTTCCGTTGTGAATAGCCCCAGAATGAAGGCACTTGCTCACTTCATTGACAAACTACACTTTGTTGTATCACTTTTGTCTGACTCCTTAAGGTAAAGGAAAATAACCACCAGCCTTGAGCGGCCCTCACTCAACACTGTAAGCGTAGGCTGACTACAGATACAAGGGTTGGGGGCAAAAATCAACAGACCCCTTCCGTATGACTCAGTTGAGTGTATATGAAACTTACAAGGGGTATTGTAAATTTTATTTTTGTCTGTAAACTGTGTGCTGCCCATCCTTTACATCAGTACAATCTATAATAAACCTAGCTGTGCGTCTATGTGCATATATTCCTATGTACACGTGTGTGCACGCACACGCACACGTGCACACGGACACACATGCTCTCTCTCCTGGAGTGCTGACTGCTAACCTTTACCAGCTCCCCACCGGCCCCACGGCACGTACGCTTGTGCCCAGGGTCTCAGAAATCCTGGCATGGATCATCCTTAGCCCTCACCCAAAGGGAGTCAAACTCCAGGCACTGAGCCTGGACACAAACATATCCGCTTCCTCCTCTTGCCTAAAACATACCAACAGCTCAACTCCTCACTCCTGTTCTGAGCGGTGGAAAGGATGCAGAGACTAGGCTGGGTAGGAGGTGTCATCTATACAGGCCACATCTGGGCCCCCGTGCAGACTGCGGTGGCCCTGGGCTCCTCACTGCCTTCCCAGGCTCTGTGTGCAGGGGCATTTCTGGTGACCCATCATTAGCAGCTCCCTGTTAATTCCATCCGCTTACGGTCTTGCTCCCGCTGTAGTTTATTTTCATGTGCAGAGCATGACTAATAGAAACAGCATTTTGGAACAAGGAGAAGTAACAGCTAAGCCAAACCTATAGGAAAGTTAAGACAACTTTCTATTTTTAGAAACCCTGGGAGCCAGGTGGGCCCTTTCCAGATTCTCCCAAGCCAGTGAATGACCGAGGAAAGTATTCCTCATTCCTGAGTTCCGTCTCTTACAGTTGAGGCCAAGGAGGAGGCCCAGGTGGGGACACCGGCTCAGAGCAGCACGGCTATGATGGAGAATGGAGCCATGCTCACAGCACTTTTAAAAATAATTACAGGGGCACCTGGGTGGCTCAGTCAGTTAAGTGGCTGCCTTCGGCTCAGGTCATGATCCCAGGGTCCTGGGATCGAGCCCCGCATCGGGCTCTCTGTTCAGCGGGGAGCCTGCTTGTCCCTCTCTCTCTGCCCCTGCTTGTGTTCCTGCTCTCGCTGTCTCTCTCTCTGTCGAATAAATAATAAAAAAAAATTACAAATGGGTTTTATAATTATTTCAATTTGTGTGCGGAAGGGTGATCCTGAGTTTCGATCTCAGCGGCTCCCACCCCAGACAACCACTGTTTAGAGTCAGGTATCTATTCTTCCAGACCATTCATTCACTCGTTTTTGCATCTTTCTTTTCTTATAATTTTAGTTTTCAAAAATGGGCTCATTCTGTACATTCTAGTTTGCATCTTCCTATTTCCACTTGACAATATATCCTGAGTGTTCATCCACGTTAGCTCATGGAGACCTACAACATTCCTTTCAATGCTTGCATATCAGAAGCCCCAGGAGGTTGGAAGAAGGGATCTATTTTGATAACCATATCTCTACTTTCTAACCAGGTCTCAAACTTTCTTGACCCCAAGATACACAAGTAGAACCAAACTGTTTCCACTTATCAGTAAAAAGAAATTCTACTGGCTTTCCCTTCAACCTGTAACTGGAAACTGACCACTTCCTGTCCCATCCCCTGCCCTCACCCTGGTCCCTGGTCCAGGAGGCCATTTCTCTCTGAGTTGTTATAGTTGTCTCCTCATTGGGGTCTGCTTCCCTTGCCTCTCTAATGGTGTGTTCTCTATCTGCAGCCAGCAGGGTCCTATTAAAATGAAATCAGATCCTGTCCCTCCTCTGCTCAGAACACCCTCCTGCCCCTCCAGTCTTGGGCCCACCTCACCTAGAGTAAAAGGCCAAGTCCTCACCATGCCCACAAGGCCCTGTAGGATCTGGACCTCATCTCCCCTGCTCTCCCCCTTGCCACACTTGCTTCTCAATTGTGCCAGGCACAGTCCTGCCTCAAGACCTTTGCACTTGCTTTCCCCTCTGCCTGGAACACTCCCTCTCCAAATCTCCACATGGTTCATTTCTTCCCATTTACCATCATCTAGCATACTATGTATTTTTCTTTTCTTAAATATCCCCTACTGGAATGTGAGTTTCCTGAGGTACAGATATATATATACATATACATATATATATATATATATTTTTTTTTTTTTTTTTTTTTGCCTGTTTTGCTCAGTGTTATATTCCATAGTAGGCACTCAATAAACTTGTAGAACTACCTGGCTTACTATGTTGCCAAGAGTGACAAGGCAGTCAAACCTTCTGGGAGAACCATGCATTAGGGTCACCAGGAATCTCTAACCACGTACTACATTTCATTTATGAATAGCACACTTCCATACCCTTGCCAGCTCACGCAGGGGCCGTTCATCTGTGTAACGAGAGGCAGTGG